TAATTAAATGCCTGTTCTGATGACCTAATAGACAAACTTTCTGACCATAAGAATATAAAATATGGAGGACAATTAAAATATATTTTGTTAAAAAAAGACTTATGAATATTTTGCATACATGCATGTATATGTGTACTATATGTATGTTTGGTATCTACGAGTTCAGAAGAGGAATTGTAAAGCCACCATGTGAATATAGGGAACTGCATTGGGCCTTCTGTAAGAGCAACAAATGCTCTTAACTCTTGAGCCATTTCCCCTGCCCCTGATTCTATTTTATAACAAGCTTAATTACACATGGTTTAAAAAACACTTTAATATCCAAATACCTTTATATAAACTCAATTTTCTGTTCCCAATCTGTGTACACTGGACCCAGACTTAATTTACCAATAGTATAAAAAAAGGGTAATTAAAGTGGCAGCAAGAATGATGAATCAGAGAGGAAAAAACATGTTCAATTGTATAATCAAAATCAAAACCAAGAAGCATCTTGTAGTTGGTAATTACTTTTAAGTGCCAGCAGGGTCACATGCTATTAACTGTATTATCATTATAACTATTATCACTGATTAAGATTTAAAATGTTTCTATACAGCAACGTGTCTATGGAGAGGCAACTTAGATTCATACATACTTTCTTAATCAAAATCCTCATTTTTCAAAACATTACTCAGAATAAAGAATCTTCTTTTATAAATGGGAATAAGACAGTAACATTAAAAAAACTGGTATTATCCTAATGTTCTTTTTTAGTTAAATAGTTCAAAAAATAACTTTTTAAAAGAGAAAACCTAGTTTTGTTGGAATACTTGAACACACTAAAATCTTGTGTAGTCCAACTGACTTCTGTAGGAAATCAGGATAAAAACAAGAACTTAAACTGCAGACTGACCTAACTAATCCAAGGAATGTCTCAGCTATCTTCTGGGAGACACACACCTGTAAATGATAAAACACATTATTCTATTAGCAAACACAAACTTTGCTATCTTTAAATCAGCGCCCTCATATTCTCAAAAGGAATGCCCTCAATGTCAGTGCCTGAAGTGATCCGCGCTGACAAATCGAAGAGCTCTCTCTGTGTCATTCCTAATGCACTTGTCACTCAGTATTATCCATCCTCATTAATGACAATGGGAAAGTTTATCTTGGGAACACATTTTAAATCATCTACTCTTTACAATGGGACCATGAAATCTCTTACAAAACATGAGGCGGGAACTACTCTGACAACAAAACCCTTTCCTGGCAGCTTTATTCTTAATTCCTGTTCAAGGAGTAATCTGTTTATTATAAAATCATACAGAACAATATATTAAACAGAATTTGAAACAAGAATAGCTAGTGTGATTTTCAAGCTTACAAGTATTTTTACAACATTTTTATTAAGCTGAAAACACTGTTGAGTCCTTTTTGTGTGGTTTCATGCCATCATCTTTTCTATTTTACATTATAATCACCTTTGAAAAGGGGGTTTGCTTTGCCTAATTTTAAAATAAATTTCAAAGACTGATAGCTAGCTCTTATATATCTAGCAAAAATGAAATAATTTGCATTAACTTAAATAAAAGCAGTTATATTGAAATAAAATGCCCTATTTTAAAAAGTCTAACTAAAATGCTAAAATGCTCAAATTTAACTACTTCTAACTTAAAAATAACCTAACCAGTGCCAATATCACACAATACACAATTACATCTTAAGCCTGAATATGATGTTTCAATATTTTAAGAAATTCTTTCAGTTAAAAAGACAGAGAGTAACTTAAACTTCTGGATCCACAATACCTACTGTTTCAATTCTAGACACATGTGGCTGGAGTATTTCTTCCAATAAAATGAATCCTTCTTAGAAATATGTCCCTATGCCTCTTAATATTCTGGTATTGGAACTTTAATGCCTCATTTTGTTTATCTCCCTGGACAATAAAGTCATATTAAACATAGTATAATGAAAACTATAAAATATTACATTCAATATCAATTTTTACCATTTTCAATCACTGAAAGCATCTGAATGATGTATGCTAAACAGAAGTGGCTATTAATAGTTCATAGTAATATTTAAATTGTATAAGTCTTTAATTTATAACAAAGCTTTTTAACTTTAGAATTTAAAATGATTGATATTATACAGATTTTGTGGTTGCTTACTGTATATAAAAACACTATAAATACTACAAAATGTTTGTTTTGCTATATAAGGAATAATAAAAGGAATGTAAATCTAAGGACATGCATAAAATAATTGTTATTCATATATTAGATATTTCCAAGTGTCTAAAAATAGCACTTTATGTGTAGCTTGAGAGCAAAATTAGCCTTACAGATGGGAGGCTGCCTCAGTATCTGAATAAGCCTGGAGAGACTGGAGCCTTTAAGACTGTACACAAGTCCACACTGGAAAACACACACACTCTCAACTTCCCTTCCATTCAAGCCTTTTATGAGATATAACATCTTCACAACATGCGCAGCTTGAGAAAAGCTACGCATTTTCTGAAAAAAGACTACTAATTTAACAAGTACAAGATACCTATCGAAGGACTATGCACTCACTGATTTTCAGTAGCGCTGAATTTAAAGACCATAACTGTCAATTCTTTCAGTGAAATTTGTTTAAAACATTAAGACAGAGATTCTTCACAGTAATAACTTTTCTTACAATAACCACAAAGTAAATATTTTTGGTCTTGGAAAACAAATTTTAATTTAACTGTGTAGGACAAAGAAAGCATGGTAAAACCTATTGGCCTCATAACATTTGGTACAATTTACTTAGACAACAGCAGGGCTAGAATTGGACCATGGGTCATAGCTGCAATAGGTTTTACACTGCCCCTTACACTGTACACAGGGCCAAACACAAGATATCTCAAAGAAATGTGAGATGGGAGTGTTATCAATATGAAACAGTAAAGTAAAGCCGAGCATAAATACGATGTTATAAAAAATATGGAGATCAAATTTTCCAAATACCTTTACACATGTTCTGTTTTTAAAAATAAATTATCTGTTGAATTAAATTGTTATGAATTACATTGTAAGTCTTTTTTAATAATAATTGTCCTCATTTAAATTTTTATGCAGATCAGGATGGCTTCCTAAGATGAGACTGTTAAGTAGCCAAACTAAAGCAATGTTTTGAATTGGGCTGCCTCATGTGCACCAAGACAGTCAACAGAATGATTTTTTGATTATGGTTGTGATATGAGTTACTTTGCCATAAAAGTACATGAAAACTGAAGATTATTTAAAATGTTGTATTATAATTTCATTTTATATAAGCATCTTACCCAGTATGTCAAGAGTTCCACAAATCTACATTTTTTTCTTTTAAGAACCAGGAAAGCACAGACAATAAAATTTGATCATATTTGCCAAAGAAAACTAGGACTATCATCAGGGAACTAATTGGCCAAAGTCAGCTGGAAAGCACAGGTATTGAAATGAAGGAATTACAAATGATTCCCATTTTGTTTTACAATATAGACTAAGTCCAGTAGCTCACACAAGGAACCTGATTGGAAATTCCTAACTGACCTTTATGAATTTGGAAAATGTATTATTAAATCTCTCTCTTTTTAGGCTTTCTAATTAAGGCTGACTTTGAATTTGCTACACTGTCCTGTCTGGCCTTGAACTGAAGAGATCTGCCTGCCTTTGCCTTCTGAGTATTAGGATTAAAGGTGTGCACCACCATGCCTAAATCTTTCAAGATGAAGCATCAAAATAAATTTCACAGTTAACAAGATGACCATAATGAAACAGTCATTCTGATAAGTTTATCAATTATGCATTGTTAATTAAAAACTTCTTCCTCATTGACTGCTGGTATTTCAAGCATAGTTCTACTTCATTTCACTGACAGCAACTCATTATGTTACCTGCTATGTGTTGAAAGTTGCTTTACTTATGCAAACCTTAGAAGTATATTAACTATCCAAGGAAAGTGTGCTGATATATAGACCACCCCACAGAGTCGGTAATGCTGAATCTGCTATAGTAAAAAGTGTCAGGAGGGCATTTACTCACCCATCTATTCACTAACTCAATCAGGTATTGAACTGGAAAGAGGTGGGTGGTGAAGATGATGAATCAGACACACCTAAGTTTGTAACACGTATTATACCCCTGAAAAAATAAAATCACATGCTCTCAAAGATTAAACACTTTGTATGTAAAACGAACTGCACAAATAGGTATGTTTTCACTACAATGAAGTGTGATAGCAAAGACAGAACAGTGCAGAGCAGAAACCAAGAGCCAGATAATAAGCAGAGAAAACCAGTAGGACATGGGCTCATTCTACTTCATGCCCAGTCTTAGAATTTTTATACATCAATCAGGTCTACGCTGATCTGTTATTGTATCACCCTAAGTAGTTCAAGCTAGCCTCAAATAGCCTCTTGTCTTAGCCTCCTGAATTACAAGTGTATTGGAATTACACATGTATACCATCATGTCTAGCTTGTAATTTTTTCCTAACCTAGAAGATTTTATTTGCTATGAATTAGAAATTTAATCTAGGTTTAAAAATGTTTTGTTTATTGTTATTATTTTATGTGTATGACTGCTTGCCTGCAAGTGTACCTATGCATCGTGTGCACACCTGATGCCCATGGGGGCCAGAAGATGTCAGATCCCCCTGGAACTGCAGTTACAGATAGAAGTGAGCCACCACGAGGATGTTGAGAATGGAACCTGGGCTCTTAAACACTAAGTCACTTCTTCAGCCCCTAGGAGTTGGTTATAATAACACAAATACATCTCTTTCCGCTCCTGCATCTCTTCAAATTAAGCATGGATAAGGTAGATGTTTGTCTGAATATCCAAACACAAGGAGAAGAAGTGGTGCTGAACAGATTTATTGGTCTAGCCTTATAGAATTTGATGTTTTAATTGGTGTTCTGGGTATGGGTCTTACATGTGTAGCTAGGTAAGCACACTGTCACTGAACTAAATTGCCAGTCTGCAATATAATTATTTTGAAGCTAATTTTTTTTTTTTTTTTTTGTGGGATGAGGCTTTATTTCATTCACTGTGGGGGAGCCTGGACAGGGGGCAGGTAGGCAGGACTAGTAGTAAGGGCTGCCCCAGGCCTAATGAGAGGGAAAAACTGAGGCCACAGCCCAGAGGGCAGGGATGTGGAACAGAGACAGTTGGGTCCGGAGCAACGGGGCCCCTCCACCTGGGCTGTACCCCATGTCCCCCTTCAGGGCCTCAGTCCTTCCTGCTTGTTGGTGTGTGTGACCCTCAATCCTTGCTCCCCCAACCCAGAGGAGGTGGCTCGGCCAGGGAGGGCAGTGGACAGGGAGCCTGGGGGAAGTTGGGGAGCACAGGTTGGGGTCCAGGTGTGCAGGGGGGCAGTCAATTCCTGGCAGCAATGACCACAGAGAGAGCCATGCCCCCCAGGGCCACAGCAGTCGCCCCAAACAGCCACTTCCATGGGATGGACCAGGTCCCCTTGCCCGGACACTTGGCGGGCAGCCGGCTGGGGTTGCCCAGCATCTTTCGGTACAGGGCGATCTCTGTGCTCCGCTGTGCAGCGCGCTTCTTTACCAGCTTTGAGAGCTCCGCATGGATCGTCTTGTTGGAAGGTTCCAGCTTCAGGGCAGCCCTCAGGATGGGGATGGCCTCACTATATTCTCCTTGCTGAGCCAGCACCTTGCCCATGCGGAACAGTGCCTTGATGTTGTCGGGCTGGTGCTCAAGCACCTGGCTGCAGGAGCGCAGTGCTGCACGGTAGTGGTCCAGCTTCAGCTGCGATGCTGCAAGGTTGTTCAGACACTTGACCTTCAGTTGTAGCAGCTGCTCCTCTTCCTCACAGGTCATGTCCACTTTGGCACTGGAGGTGATGGCCTTGATGGCCAAGTCATAGGAGTTAGCAGCCAGCACAAAGTCAGCACGCTGGTAGTGGGCATTGCCACACTCCCGCTTGCGGTTGGCCAGAGCCACACGCTCCTGCCCACTCAGCATCTCTAGGTCAGGTCCATCCTCTGCCATCTTCAGGGTGACTTCCAGGCACAGGGCCGTTTGGGGGGGGATATACGGGCTCCTGCTGCCTTGGGGACCGTAGCAGTACTTGGAGTCAGCGGTGACCATGG